GGAGGGCCTCACTATCCCTGGGGAGGAGTTGGGGGATGGGTTTGGGGGGGTTGGTGGGGAACATGGGATGATGTTAGGGCAAGGAAATGGGGGGTGGATATGTAAATATGAGTAGTAATTAAAGAATTTAAATAAAAAACTCAAAAAATACAAAAAATAAAAAATGTTTTATTTTATGTGTATATGTGTTTTGCCTGTATGTATGTATACCATATGAATGCCTAGTTTCTGAGGAGGCCAGAAAAGGTGGTCAGATACCTGGGAACTGAAGTTACGGACAGTTGTAAGCTGCCATGGGGTTACTTGGAAGTGAATGCAGGTCCCCTGCAAGACCAGCAAGAGCTCTTAAGCACTGAGCTCCCATGTTTTGTTTTCTAATAACAATTTTGCTGACTTATATTTTTCAGGTGTAATGTCCTTGCTGAGGCCTCTTCTTCTGGATGTGGTCCCAACGATTCAGCAGACTGCTGCTTTGGCTCTGGGCAGACTGGCCAATTACAATGACGACTTAGCAGAAGCGGTTGTGAAGGGCGACATTCTTCCCCAGCTTGTTTATTCACTGGCAGAACAAAATGTAAGGTTTTTTCAAAAATAATTTATGTATTTTTGGTTTTAGTAAAAAATGACAGTTTGGGCACAATTGTGGGTTGAAGGCATTGGGATGTTTAGATTATTTTGAGTTGGGTGTGGCAGGCAGCTTCTCTCCATCATTGTTAATTTATGGGGACTATGTAAAAGAAACTTTTCGAGGCATGCATAAAGTAGTGTGTGTGTACATGGGAGCTTTGGACAGCGCTATAGGATCTGTCTGAGGGAAGAAGGTAAAGACCTTAGACAAATAAACACTTTCTTTCTGCCACTCTTATATGAAGGTGGTTAGTGGGAAGAGTAAGTCCTGAAGGGAGAGAGAACACCTTTAATGAAATGTTTGATAAGCATTTGTTTTTTTTTTTTTTTTTTACTAAGTAGACAAGCATTTCAAGTCATTACATGTGCCTTCTGAATGTGTCCCCCCCTCCCCATATGATATAGTATTTTTTATCTACAGTGTCACCAATTAATTAGTTTATGTAATAGTTTAGAATTTAAGCTTTTTAAGCTATCCATTACACTCTATAAGTTTATCGTAACATAAGTATGACATCAATTTTTCCTGAGATCTTTAAGTCTAAATTTCTATTTGCATATGAAGCATAGCTGAACTGAAAAGTGGGCAAAGGACTTGAATATTTTCCCAAGGAAAACCTAGAAATAGTCAACAGCATGTGAAAAGGAGCTTAATGGCATTAGCAATTAAAACATCCCATATCTACTAGCATGACCATAATGAAAAATAATTAAAAAAGGAAAACCAGTGTCAGTGATGATGAGAAAAATTGAAACCCTCATGTGCTGTTGATAGGCACAGAAAATGGTACAATTTCCATGACAAGCCATTTGGTAACATAAAATAAGATCAATGCCCCAGTAAGATTTATCAGTGAAGCACTGATAAATGTAGTTTTTGTGATTATCAAAACCATTTTTATCAGGGACTGCAGAGATGGCTCAGTGCTTAAGACTATATTCCCCTCTTACAAAGGACCTAAGTTTGGCACCTAGCACCCATGTCATGTGGCTCACAGCCATCTGTAGTACCAGCTCCAGGTAATCTGATAAGTGTCTTCCACAGGTACCTACATGTACACACAAACATGTACATATACACACACAAAACCCCTCTAAAAACTCCCAAGACTTTAAAAATGAGAAAGTATAAATAAAATAAAAAGCCCATGCTAAGTGAAAGATGCCAGACAGAAAAAGCTATATATTATATAATCCCATTCATACAAGATGCCCAAAACATGCAAATTCATGGAAAGAGAAGCAGATCAGTGGCTTCCAGGGGCCAGGAGAAGAGGGGGAATAGGAAAGGACTGCCTGAGTCTCTGGTTGAGAATATAGGTGATGGAAGTGATGTGATTATGAGCACTTTAACTTGAAAAAAGAAATTTTTATGATGTATTTTCTGAGAGAAAAACATCATAATTGTGCAAAAAACTGATTTAGTGTATAGGGTTGAATATCATTTACTAATATCTCTGCACAGAACCACAAGCTTTCACTTTCCTATGCATGCCCCTCAGCAGCTCCTTGTAGGCTTTGCTCCTCTAGGATTCTTGCTCTTCACTTGGACAGCAGGCTCAGTGGTTTTAAGTCCCACTTAGAGGGTTTCAGAAATTTTCTGAGTATGAGTTAATGTCTGCCAGATAAAAATAGATAGTTGTTGGCAGAAAAGTGAGGGGTAGCCAGAGTGCACAGCATGTCTTCTTCATCTACCAGCCTAGAGTCACTTCTCTCGAGATTTCAACTTTTTTTTTTTTAGTAGCTTCAAATCTTGTGGTTTTGCTTCACTTAAAAAATAAGAGAATCTGCTTACTTTTTCTTTTTTTCATTTAAATGTTTTACTTTCATACACAGTATTGGCTTTCACCGTAATATTTTCAGCTTTATTGATTCTTGTCTTCTCTCCCACCTTGTCCTTTCCTCAGATTCCACCACCTGACCTACGTTATGTTACTTGTGCCTGATAGACCTCACTGTTTCCTTTTTCCATATCCTGTAACCAGTTTCTCCCATGTACACATCATATAAACATTGTAAGCCAGGATCTGCATGTGAGACAGAATGTGTGGTTTTTGTCTGAATCTTTAAAAGATTCTTCTTAATTCTCTGAGAGTATCATACAGTGTATTTTGATCATATTCACTCCTCTCCCCAATTCCTCCTGTACCCAACCTCTCCACCTCACCTTCCTAACTCAAACTGAGTTTTCTTCATTTTATGCTCCATCAAGTCCAGTTTGTGTTATCCAACTGCCCTTGGGAGTGAGGCCTGCTCTGGTACTTGGTTAGCCATCCAGGGATCACATCACTAAAGGAAAGTGATTCCTTTTCTCCCAACAGCTGTCAAATGCCAATAGCTCCTCAACTAGCTTTCACCGGGATTTTGTGCTCATCTCCTCCTTGTACACTGGAATTATTGTGCAGCTTGAGTTTGCATAGGGCATTGTACATGATTTCACAATCCCTGTGAGTTCAAAAGTGCAACTGCCTGCTTGTGTCTGGAAAAACAGTTTCCTTGATGTTATCTACAAGCTCTGGCTCTTGCACCCTTTTGTAACGATAAATCTTTCCACCAGCCGCCTGAGTTCCTTCCACCAAGCTAGGGCCCCAAGTAACACACAGAGTCTTATATTAGTTACAATGCTTCTGGCCAATGACTAGGATTTCTTACTTGCTATCTCATTCTTAATTATCAACCATAACTACGAATCTATATATTTTATAAGAACTTGTCTTATCAGACGCCAGTGGCAGGCACCTTTTTCCTGGGATCACATGGCGGGTCCATAGAGAAGAGAGGAAGAGGAAGAGGGCGATTTTCTGCTAGTCCTTGCTTATATTCTGAGTCTTCCTGCTATGTCACTTCCTGCCTGGATCACAAGACTTCTCTTTACTACATTCCCCAGAATCCTCCTCGACTCCTAGTCTTGCCTAAATTGCTTCCCTACTGGCCAACAGTACTTTATTTATCAACCAATATGACAAACATATACACAGAAGGACCTCCCCATCACCCTTTCTTTCTTGAAAAGCCCCCACTCTTGGGGGTGGGATATAATATGTGCATCACATTTAGTGTTGAACACTATTGTCTCCTATTCTCTGCATTGATCAGCTGAGGGGCTCTATGTTAATTGTTTACTGTGGGAGGAAGTTTCTCTGATGAGAGTTAAGAGTTGCACTTATCTATGTGTATAGCAATAACAAGCCCTGGTTTTGAACATTGTTAGCAAAGACATAACTGGTTAGACATACAACTCTAAGTCAGTTTTTATTATCTTGAGTTTTGTTTTGATGTATTTTTACAACCTTGGGAATTTATTATCATATAAAAATTATTTCAATTCAAAATATACTAGAGACCTGCTGTTATCTTCTTAGACTAAAAGGAAGATATGCCAATAAGTAGGGGACTAAGTAAGACTAAGAATGTTCATAGGCATTGCCTTTTACCAATAACAGCCACCTCTTAGGCAGGTTTTTTTCTGCTACTGTTTTCTACAGATGGAGGTGCCAGCAGGACAGTATTACTGTCAACTTTTAATAAGGTTGGATTAATTTACCCTTTTTCTTTTTAAAGCAAATAAACTTAGTTGAAGGTTCACACTGTACCTTCCTCCCATTTTCATCTCTGTCTTCTACTTCTATCACCAAACTACTTGTGTCCCATCTATACCAGCTTTCTGTTAACTAAACTCCACCCTCAAGGACCTCGATCCAAATGTTTCTTCCACTACATACTTTCTACATTCATGATCTTTCTGCAGCATTCCTTTTCTCTCTCAGTCTAGATTAGTTTCCATCCAATGGGCATCTCTATCCTTCATGTGCTAATTTATATGTGAGGTCAGTTAATGTTGAGCCTCGACCTTCCTTCAGAATAACCATTCTGAGTGAGGATATTCAAATTGGGTTTCCAAAGCTTCCATCATGACTGGATGACTGATTCTTTCCTAGTTGGCTCAATAAGCTGTCATCTAAATGTAAACAAACAGCAGAGTCAGTTAAAATATTCAAAGGCTGAGAAATACCTAATAAAACTGATTATGATGAGTTTAGATGGTTGAGGTGTACACTTAGGGATGGTTACAACCTTTTTTGTTGAGGATGTGGAATTTTTATATAAATAAGCTCCTTATCCTTTTGACAAGCCATTTATAAAAGCATTAAAAGTAATTGCCACAATATTTTTAGATGTAATTTTCGTCAGTAAACATGAGGTATCTTCAATAGATCCAAAGTAATATGCTAATGCAACATGCTGAATATTATTAATGTGGAACAAATAGTCAACTGTAAATGTAGGCAGAACTTTTTTTTTATCTTAATCACCTGGTCCAGAATAAACACCCAAAAGCTTTTATTAATTAAGAATTCTTGGCCTAATCAGGGAAATGCCAATCAAAACAACTCTGAGATACCATCTTACACCCATTAAAATGGCTAAAATAAAAAACACCAACGACAGTTTATCCTGGAGAGGATGTGGAGAAAGGGGAACACTTCTTCATTGCTGGTAGGAGTGAAAAATTGTACAGCCACTTTGGAGTATGGCAGTTTCTCCAGAAAATGGGAACCCCTTCTACCTCAAGATCCAGTAATTCCACTCTTAGGCATACACCCAAAGGATGCACATTCATACAATAAGGACATCTGTTCAACTATGTTCATAGCAGCATTATTTGTAATAACCAGAACCTGGAAGCAACCTAGATGCCTCTCAACTGAAGAATGGATAAAGAAAATGTGGTACATTTTACACAAATTACACAATGGAGTACTACTCAGTGGAAAAAAAAAACAATGGAATATTGAAATTTGCAGGCAAATGGATGGAACTAGAAGAAATCATCTTAAGTGGGGTAACGCAGTCACAGAAAGACAAACATAGTATGTACTCACTCATATATGGATATTAGACAAAGAGCAAAGGATTACCAGCCTACAATCCACACCTCAAGAGAAGCAAGGAAACAAGGAGGACCATAAGAGAGACAGACATGGTCCCTCAGTGAAGCGGAAAAGACAAGAGACCCTGAACAAATTGGGAGCATGGGGTGAGATAGATGGGTGATAATAGAGAGAGAGGGGAGAAGAGGAGGCAGGAGGAGAACATTAGGGATCAAGAAGGTTGAGTGGGGGAGAGGAATAGAGGAGAACAAGAAAAGAGACACATCAATAGAGGGATCCACTATAGGCTTAAAGAGAAACCTGGCACTAGGGAATTGTACAGAGATCCACCCAACTAGTACCCTAAGTAATAGTGGAGAGGCTACCTTAAATGCCCTTCCCCTATAATAAGAATAATGACTACCTTAAATGCCATCCTAGAGCCTTCATTCAGTAGCTGATGGAAGCAGAAGCAGAGATCCACAGCTAAACACTGAACCCAACTCCAGGAATCCAGTTTCAGTGAGGGAGGAGTGACCAACAAAGTGATCAAGACCACGATGGGAAAACCTACAGAAACAGCTGACCTGAGAAGTGGGAACTCATGGATCCCAGGCTGGCAGTTGGGGAACCAACATAGGACCAAACCAGGCCCTCTGAACAGCCTTCATCCAGGAGCTGATGGAAACAGAAACAGGCACCCACAGCTAAGCACTGAGCTGCACTCCTGGAATCCGGATGTAGAGAGGGAGGAGGGATGAGCAAAGCAGTCAAGACTGCTGGAGAAACCTACAGAACCAGTTGACCTGTCTTAGTGAGAGCACATGGACCCCAGTCTTAAAGCACTGGACTGAACCAAATCCTCTGAATGTGGGTGCCAGTTAGGAGGCCATGGCAGGCTATGGGACCTCTAACAGTGGAGCCAGTGTTATCCCTAGTACACAAATGGACTTTGGAAGCCTGTTCCCTATGGAGGGATACTATTTCAGCTCAGATAAACGGAGGAGGGCCTGGGCTTTCCCGTCAAATGATGACAGATTTTGATGATCCCCCATGGAAGGCCTCCTTGGGGAGGTGGGGGTTGGATTGGGGGGATTGGTAGGGGGTGTGGGGGGATGGGAGGAAGAGGGAACAGGTATTTTGATATGTAAAATGATTGTTTCTAAAAAAAAAAGAGAAAGAGAGAAAAAGTATGCTTGATCTATAGCTCAGGCTTATAGCTAACTAGCTCTTACAGCTTGGCTTTACCTGTCCTCTAGAATCTTGCTTCCCTGGTGGCTGCTTGTGTCTCCCTCTTGCTATAGGCCAAATCATCTTTATTATCAACCAATGAGATTAATACATATTCACAGTGTACAGAAGGCTTATCCCACAGCAACTGACTGAATTTTATTTACTGACACAATGATTTCTATAGGCTCCTTACCAGTAAGCTGTTAAGTTGTGTCCTTCCCATCACTAAGTCTAAAAATTGAAAGGAAAAGTATCAGTTCAGGATCCCCAAGGCCAAGTTCACAACACAAAGGTGGTTTATTTGCCCCAGAAGGGCAGGGGTCAGGGAATAAGACACTAAGATAGGAGATAGAGAATGAGGGAAAAGGGGAAGGGAACAAAGAAAATCAGGCAGGGGTATTTGTTCAGGGGGACAAAGGACTTCCCCTGGATAGAGAGGAGGCAGACACGGCAGATAGGAAAATGGTAGTTTATAAAAGTACAAGGGGAAATAACCCCCGGGTTAGGATGAGGTGTTAAATTTTAATCTCATATGTTAATCAGGTGAGCCAAAGGGGGTTTTTGATTCCTGGACTTCAATAATTTGGTAGCTAGTCCTTGGTATTCTGTCTCAGGAGGAGAAGTGACCAAATAAGAGAACAGACCTTGTTGGCTGGCTTCAGGAATGTAATCTAATGGTTTTTAGCAAGGCAGAGGGAATAGGAGAGAAGGGCAAGGTCTGCCAGAGTCACATGCTCAAGTGCGGTAGTGTCCCTTCATAAGTTTTTCTAAATAAGATCATGTGGAGAATCATGACACGCATAAATTTCTATAATTGATAAGGAAGGCATTAATTCTATGAGTTACAGCTTTAGTAGTAGCTTTATTTAATGAGCTAATAATCCGTTCTGTTTCAGAATTTACATATCTTACAGAATTTAACCAAGAGTCCCCAGAAAGCAACTTGAAGAGCAGAGCCAAATTTCTAAAAGGGTCAAAAACTTATATTCTATGGTTTAGCTCATTTCCTTACCAGGAGAAAATTAAAATACATGATTATTTTTCCTTTATGTTTATGTGGTTACTGCTATGAACATCTTGAAATATGATTGTTATTTCAGGATAACTTGGGATACCAGAAAAATTAATTGAGGTCACAAAAGTCTTGCCATGCTTAGAGACTGAAGTCAAGTAAAGGAAATGAATTAGTTGACAGAGTACAGCGGCATTTGAACAATCTCAGTGCTCCCATGAGTTAAATAATACCTGCAGTATCCTGGAATATTATTCTTTGTGAAATTACAGAAAGCATTTTGTTTATATTTGACTTTCACTATTTCCAAATGCATACTTAAGTGTAAGACACTTGAAAATGTAATTTTAAACATACCTTAATTCAGTTTAATAAAGAGGAACAATGGGAGAATTTCAAAGAATCAAAGTGATTTTTCAGTTTTAATTTTCTCTTTTGTATTCCACATCAGGTGAGCATTCCTTAATGTAATTTTAATCTGTTTTTGATCTTTTCTTTTTTTTTCCCTGATAGCGTTTCTACAAGAAAGCAGCTGCCTTTGTCCTGAGAGCAGTTGGTAAACATTCCCCTCAGCTGGCCCAGGCCATAGTTGACTGTGGAGCTCTGGACACACTGGTGATATGCTTGGAGGATTTTGACCCTGGAGTCAAGGAGGCTGCAGCCTGGGCACTGGGATATATTGCAAGACATAATACAGGTAATGGAGCATACTTGAAAATAGGGTAATTTCATATTTATTATATAACCCAATTTCAATAAATAGTAGGTTGAGTTTTAGGGTGATAGTGTACATGATGAGAAATCAGGTTTTGAACGACAGTCCAGCTATTTGGATCACATTCTCACAGCATACTTATATATATTGGTCTTACAAGAAGAAACATTTGAAGGAAATGAATGGTGTGGAGGAATGTCATTGGTCTTCAAAGGCTTTGCTAGATAGTCATAACTTGCATGCTTGTAATATCAGCATTAAGGAAGCTGAGGCCGAAAGATGACAAGTTCAGGGCCAACCTGAACCACTCAGCAAGGTCTTGTCTTAAAACCAAAATAAACAAAGCAAACCAAAATAAATATCCCAAGTCAACTAATCAAATAAAATATCCTTGAGTTTGTTAATGAATATATCTTGGTTTGTCACCCCCTCAGAATTCACTGGGTCTTTGTTACAAATAATAATAAGTTATAAGTGTTTAAAGTGATAGTTACATAATGCTGGATACAAATATTAATAATATGTGTACATTTTCATACAGATATAAATTATAGTTACATGTTTGCATTAGTAGAATTAGCATGCATTTTCAAAACTTACAGATTTTTTTCATTGTGTTTATATATAAAATAGCAGCTACTGTGCACTGAATAGTGTTGTGGGCCTGACTCTGTGCCTTGAATTTCATATACCATTTGCAGATGTCTCATTTAGGTTCTTGTCTCCCTACTAAGCAGCGTACTTAGAGAGGATGCCTGAAGTTATATGGATGGTAGTACTAGAATTTGGGTTTAATTCTGACCGCCAAGTCCATGTTATTATCTACTTCCCGAGAACAATGATGACAACCCATAATATTAGAAACATCAGTAGAGACAGAAAATAGAACATAAGAAAATTAGTTGAGAAAGAATATTATTGTCATGCTTAGAAGGATTCAAAATCAATATATTAAAATTCATTGCATAATATGTAGATTAGATCAGTGGTTCTTCACCCTTCCTTCCTTCCTTCCTTCCTTCCTTCCTTCCTTCCTTCTTCTCTCTCTTTCTTTTTTTGAGTTTTGAGATAGGGTTTCTCTATGTAGTCCTGGATGTTCTGGAACTTGCTCTGTACACCAGACTGGCCGTGAACTCACAGAGATCTGTCTGCCTCTGCCTCCCTAGTGCTGGGATTAAAGGTGTGTGACACCGCTGCCCGGCTTAGAGTGGTGGTTCTTAACTTGTGGGTCACAACCTGTTTGGGGATTAAACTACCCTTTCACAGGGGTCACCTATCAGATATCCTGGATATCAGACATTTACATTATGGTTCATAACAGTAGCAAAATTACAGTTATGAAGTAGCAATGATAATAATTTTATGTTTGGGGTCACCACAACATGAGGAACTGTATTAAAGGGTTCCAGAGTTAGGAAGGTTCAGAACCACTGCTCTAGAGTTTGGTTTACTAAAAAGGTTTACTTAAGTCTCTTACTTAGTTACTAATTGGGTAAATAAGCAGTACTTTTTTTTTAAGCTAGCATATGCTAAGGATATGTAACAATAGGTTTCATTATAACATTTTCTTATACACACTCTGTATTTTCAGCTTACTCACCCTGCTCCCAGCCCCAGTCCCTATTATTCTCTCTCTGTTCTGCCTCCCACTAATTCTTTTCCTTTTCCCATCTAGTCCTCTGTCTTTGTTAGGATTTCTATTTCTATGATGAAACACGATGACCTAAGCAACTTGGGGAGGAAAGTGTATATTCAGTTTATGCTTCTACATCACAGTTCATCATCAGAGGAAGACAGGGCAGGAACTCAAGCAGGACTGGAAACTGGAGGCAGGAGCTGACCCAGAGGTGAAAGAGGAATGCTGCTTACTGGCTTGTTTCCCGTGACTTGCTCAGTCTGCTTTCTCATAGAATCCAGGACCACCTACCCAGGGATGGTACCACCCACAATGGACTGGGCCCTTCCCCATCAATCACTAATTAGGAAAATGCCCTACAGGCTTGCCTACATCCTGATTTTATGCAGGCATCTTATTTTAGATTTCTTCCTCTCTGATGACTTTAACTTGTGTCAAGTTGACATAAAACTATCTAGCAATCCTCCTCCTTCTTTTTGTCTTTTTTATTTTACTTTTTTTGTTTACCTAGTGAGTCTTATTGGGGTTGAGAATATGATACGTGACTACCCAGTATTTCATCATTTCTATCCTTCCCTCTCCCTTCTCCACGTCCTCTTGTGTTCCCACTCTCATCTCCTCTCAAATCCATGGTCTCACTGAGTCTAATCAGTATTGCCTGCATGAACATTTATTTAGGGCTGACTACTTAGGATTGGAAGCTTGTCCTTCAAGACAACTGGTTCTCCTTCCTTCACACCCATTAATAGCCTGAAAAATTTCATCTGGGGTGGGCCTTGTGAAACTTTCCTCATCCCTGTTGGTATGATAACTGGTGTGGCCTTTGCAGGTCTTGTTGAGAGTTCATGGGCACAGCATCCCTGTCCTTTCCAGAAGACACTGTCTTGTAGCAGTCATTTGCTCCTCAGGTACTTAAAATCTGTTTCCCTGCTCATCTGCCATGTTCCCCAAACCTTAGGTGTAAGAGTTGTGACTCATATGGGGCTGGCTATTCCATGGTCACTTACCCTCTGCATTTTGACCAGTCATGGATCTTTCTGAAAGTATCCTCATCCTCAAGAAGAAGCCTCTTTGATGACTGGTGAGAGCTGCATTGATCTATGGCTATAAAGACAAGCTTTTAGAAGGCAGGTGGACACTATATTAATTTAGGGAAATGGTGGTAGTAGCTTCTATCTTTATCCTTGTGTTCTTGGCAAGGTTTGCAGCACCAGCCATGTGCTTTTTTCCCTCCCTCCAACCCCACCTTGGTCTCTTTCAAATTCATGGCCTCTTTTTTCATTAATTATTGTTATATAAATACATGTATAACTATATATACTCCTAAAAATATAAGTATTCCCTGTTTAATCTGTATGATGTTATTTGTATGTACACTTTCAGACCTTACCATTTCATGTTGGGTAACTAGTTGGACCTGCGTTTGCTTCATTCAGTCTGTTGGTGAGGCTTTCCTCTGAGCTTTTTGTTTGACTTCCTGAGTTTTTATTTTTGAGTTTTATCTCAGTATGGCTTAACGTTGGTGATTCTATTTCATTGTTAAATTCTACTTTTGTATTTTGAATTATTTTTATTATTTAATTAAAATGTTTGTGTTTTTATAGTCTTCATTGAAGCATTTTTTCATATCTTCTTTAGAGTCCTTGAACATATTCACGATTGCTATTTTGAAGTCTTTGTCTTGTGCTTCAGCTAATGTGCTTTTCTCAAGGAATATTTCAGTAGGGATCCTGGTTTCTGGAGACTGCATATTGTCTTGGTTGTTGTGTTTTTGAGATACAGATCCTCAGAGTGACAATGTTTGTAGTGGTTCTTCGTGTGAATTGCTGGTCTTGCCATTGTCGTGTGTGTTTAGTTCTTTGGTTGCTGTTACCACAGTCTTGTCAGGTTGTGGATAAGAAGAATGATGCTTGATTTTCAGTCTTGGTGGCCACTCTGAGTTTTTAGGGTTCAGACTCCCAGCAGTCCCAGACCAGCACAGTGAATGAGGTGGGTGTTATGCTAGTAGTTGGGGGAAATGGACTGACTGGAGGTGTCTCTTGGAGGGTTTGGGGTCTAACTCCATGGGAATCAGTTTTGGCAGTAATATGGGTCAGTTGGGCATGTGGTGGCATGTGGTGGTATGTCCCAAGGGAATAGACATGGGCTGGGAGGATATGCTGGTATAGGCAGCAGTAGGTAGGTAGTCCAGGGTTACCCTAGAGAGGCCAGAAGGTTTCCTGCCAATTGTGGTGGCTGAGGCTTCCCTGGAAGAGCATGGGTCTGGAGTTGGTGGAGACTCACAAAGGAATCAGTATTTTTCTTTTAATGTCTTTTTATTTAATCTTGGAGATGTTTTGATATACACAAGCACGTGGAAGTCATGGGATTATGTGTATGTATCACATCAATTTCAACTTGACATGTATTTCTCCCAATTCCTTTCTAATTAACTAAGTGTTAGTGAAAAAGAGTAAAATAAATTTATTATCTGTGTTTTTTGGACAAAGAGATCATATATTAAACACAATGACATTTTACCATGTTTTTGGGTGGTTATCTAATTGTTGGCTGTTTTCAGAGTTTAGTTTACAAGCTGACGAGAAATAATACTGTGGTTCTTCAGAAAAACTAAAAAAGTTGTATTAATTTAGAGTGTGTCTCTGTGTGTGTATGTCTGTGCAAGTGCAGCACATGAGTGGAGTTCAGAGGACAGCTTTCATAACTGATTCTCTTTCTGCCACTCAGGACGGAGAGATTGAACTCGGCTCACCAGCTTGGCAGCAAGGGCTTTCCCTCACTAGGCTATCTCACCAACAGAACCTATACTGAATTTTTATTTTATCTTTTTAAATTAGGAGCTCTTGATTAATTAAGCTTATCTTTTTGTATTTAAAAGTGAAGTTTGATTATAGAACAGTTAACTTCAGCCTTCTGAACCACTTAACTTTAACTTACACATGTGCTACTAGTAATGGACAACATCACCATCTTGGCAATCGTGAGAGAGCATGCATGGCTCTTCAGAGAGGGTCACCATGTGTTTGTACTGGGTAAAGTAAGCTAAACTGCAAAGATCTTACCTCCAAGACATTATTTGTAGTCTAAGGTAGACAAGTTGATACAGATTGGTAAAATATTCATGTAGACACCTGAGCAAAGATCAGACAAGAATATACAGAACAAGACTGCTTTAAAATCATGCATAAAGAGTTGACTAATGATACATTAGAATTGTGTGTGTGTGTGTGTGTGTGTGTGTGTGTGTGTGTATTTGTGCACCAGCAAAAGGGAAGATTTTACTCTCTTATTAAGAATTTTGCTTCACTGACCTGAACGGTGGTGAGCTCTTGGTCCTCAGACTAATAGCTGGGATACCAGCATGGGACTAATCCAGACCCCAGGAATGTGGGTTTCAGTGAAGAGACCTCGGAAATCTATAGGACCTCCTGTAGTAGTTCGGTACTTATCCCTAGCACAGGTGTGGACTTTGGGAGCCCGTTCCACATACAGGGATACTCCCTGAGCCAAGACACAAGGGGGTGGGGGGGGTGGCCCCTATCCCAAAGGATATGATAGACTCTTATGAGCCCCTATGGAAGGCCTCACTCTCCCTGGGGAGCAGAAAGGATATGTGATAGGTAGGGTTTTTTTGGGGGGGGGATGGGAGGGGAGGAGGGAATATATATATATATATATATGAATTTTGCTTCAATCAGATCAGCATTGAACATAACTCTGGGCTTGAAATAGAGGAGGGATTCACAGGGAAATGGAGGAGGGGGTCACACAGGGAAGTAGAGGAGGGGGCCACACAGGGAAGTAGAGGAACAGGAACCTCTGTGTTCTCTGTGGAGAGCACCTGAAATCCTCCTAGCCTAAGATTTCAGCTTTGTTTTGTGTCACTGTGTGCACCATGATATTTTCTTTTGATGAGCAATATTGTTTGAACTTTTCCCCCCTAGACATTAGTATCCCATGACTCTGGCATCTCCAAAATCTTGGGGTCTCCAACACAATCCAGGCTTCACCTTTACAGCTTCACACAGTGGTCTCTCCAAGGCTCAATGTGGGAATTCCCCTGCCATATATGGGGCCTCAACAGCTTTCCTGAGTCTCGAAGGAAGATTCCACAAACCTTTACTCCTGTATCTGTTATGACTCTAAAGCAGGAAGTATGTGGCAGATGCTGCCACCATCTGCTGCTTGCCTGGGTTGGATCCTGGCCCCCTCCTTGAATTACATTTGCATAAGTCTTGATTTGTTGTTGATCTTTAGCAACAGATAATTCCTTGGAGCAGTTCTTTTAGCTCGGTGGGGTCTTGCCCTGAGGGCACAACACCCTTTATTCCATTTCTCCTTATCTCTTTCAGCACAAACAAGCACGATAACACTAAATTTCCTGATGCTCATTTTCTCCTGTACATCTTGTATTTCTTTTTTGTTCGGTTTGTTCGTTTTCATTGCATATCTGCCTGAGAGTGTTCACTGACAACCACGTGGTAGAGTCAACATTAGGCTGCCTTAAAATCTCCTCTGCCAACAAAATCAATTCAAAACTCTTCCATTTCACCTCAGGTGGATTCTTAAGACAAGGGCAGAAAGTAGCCACATTCTTTGCCAAAATATCACAATGGTCTCTAGCCTTGTTGCTGATACTGTTTCCATATGAAACCTCTTGAGCTGGGCCTCCACGGTTTGCACAGTTCTTGGCACTATTGTCTTCCATGGTCCTAATAGCATGGCTCATTAAGCCCTACTTACAGTATCCAACTGTTCTCCTAGTTCAAAGTCCCAGAGTCTTCCACATCCCTCACAGTAACAGCATGGTCAGGTCTGTCACAGCAATACCCCACTCCTAGTACCAATTTCTGTCTTAATTACTATTCTACTGTCATGAAAAAAATGCCATGACCAAGTCAACATACAGAAGAAAGAGTTCACTGGGGGCTTACAGTTTCTGAAGATGAGTCCATGACCATCATGTCAGGGACCATGGCAGCAGGCAGGCAGGCCTAGTGCTCGATTAATAGCTGAGGGCTCACATAGGATCTACAACCACAAGACAGAAAGAAAGCCAACTGTGGAATGGCATGGGCTTTTGAACCCTCATATATGCCTCCTCTTAATTAGAAGGTCATACCGCCTAATCTTTCCAAAATAGTTCCACCAATTGAGAGCCACCAATTCAAACATATGAGCATATGGGGGTGGGCATTCTCCTTTAAACTACCACAGGCACCATTCCCTGGGAAGTATAAGATAGCTATTTAAGCATGAGCCTGTTTGTGATTCAGAAAGCAGTGTTTCTACACAGTTTTTGCTTAAAGTTCCTGTGAGTTCCTGCCATGACTTACCTCAACAATAAACTAACCTGCAAGCTTAAATAAACTGGTTCCTTCCCTTACTTGTCTTTGATCATGGTATTTATCACAGCAACAGAAGTGAAGTTGGAACAACAGTTCACAGGAAAATAGGAACTATATTGTATTATGCTAGCTGACATATTTTGGGTGCCCATTTTGATCTCATAGGTGGCTTTAGATAAATGACCCAGATTGCTTTACAAGTAAGCTAATTGCCTTAAAGACCTTTACTTAAGATAGACTATCTGATGGCCCAAAAGCAGTGATTTGTGGTATAATGTTATGACTTTGTAGAGCATTTCTCTGTCCCTTTTGGTTTTATGGTACAGTTTTGTCAACATGGTGACCATTAGTCACACTTGACTTTGTTCATATCGGCTGTGACTAGAGCAGTTTTCATCTTTAATTCAACTAAAAACTGATTCTCAATTTAGAATTTTGAATTAACCTCTTTTTCTTTGCTTACTATCATTACATATATATATGTATACATACATACACACAACCTCCTGGTTTTGGGGTGTGTGTGTGTGTGTGTGTGTGTGTGAGGTTTCAGGGATGACCAGTTTGTATTGGATAACCATCTGGGGGCCTCATCCCTGGAATGACTAAGTCTCCTTGTCTCAGTGGTCATTCTTTGTCTAGGAATGAGACCTTAGGAGATTTCCCCCTAATGAACAAGCATTCCTATAGATAGTGCCATTGTTCAGGTGTTGTCTATGCAGCCATTTCTAGGAGAGGGAGTCTCACAGCTGACTTCATGCTATTCTGGCTTATACAATCTTTTTACTCCCTCTTCCATATGTTCTCTGAGCCACAGATGTGGGAGCTGTAATGCAGACATGTCTTTTGGGGCTGAGCTCCCCACAATCTAGGAAGAGATAAAATGGATAAATAGTACCTCAAAAAAATGTTCATCATCCTTAGGAATTAGAGAAATGCAAATTAAAATAACTCTGAGATTTCATCTGACCCCAGTTAGAGTGGCAGAGATCCACAAAACAGTGAGCAACAAATGCTAGAGGGGGTGCAGAGAAAGGGAGCCTCCTTCACTGTTCATGGGAGTGCCAACTGGTGCAGCCATTCTAGAAATCGTTATGGAGAATCCTCAAAATGCTACAAATAAATCCACCATATGACCTAGCTATTCTACTCCTTGGCATGTGTCCAAAGGACTCTACATCCTAATCTACAGACACTTGCTCAGCCATGTTCATTGATAACTTTTTCACACTAGCTAGGAGACAGCCTAAATATCCTTCAACCAATGCATAGATAATGAAATGTGGCACATATTCATGATGGAATACTATTCAGCTATAAAGAAGATGAATTCATGCAAATTACAAGTAAATGGTTGGAACTGGAAAAGATTATTTTGAGTGAGGTAATCCAGACCCAGAAAGACAAACACTGCATTCTCTCTCATCTGCAGTTCCTAGTTCCAAATCTTCACAAGGTTAGTATATGATACAGAGTTACCACAGAAATCAGGGGCTTGGGGGGGGAATAGCAGGATACAGGGCTATGAAGTACCTGATCTGTAGCTTTCTTTGCTCAGCCCAGTTTTAGCTGTTGAAGTAAAGTGTGGGCTGGAGGAACGGCTCAGTGGTTAAGGAAATCTGCTGCCAAGGTTGATTACCTGATTTCAGGAGAACTAAGTCTTGAAAATTGGTCTCTGACTTTCACGTGTGTGCACATTACCCTGGCACCTGTAAACACACACACACACACACACACACACACACACACACACACACACACACACACACACACACACACACTCA